ATAAAAATGATGATGATGACGATGATGATGATGGTGGTGATGGTCACGATAACAGTAATAACAATCACAACCGCTATCATAATCATTATCATCATTACTATCATAATAATAATAATGGCGACAATAATGATGATGATGATGACGAAGATAATGATGATGATGATAATAATAATAATAATAATAATAATAATAATAATAATAATAATAATGACAATGATAATGATACCAATAACAATAATAATAACAATAATGACTCCAATGATGAAAAAAAAAAACAATAACAACAAAAATAATGATGAAAATGATAATAACAATAGGTAAATAAATAAATAAACGTAGGAATAAAAAAATACGCAAAAAAATAATGAAAAGCAAACAGGAATCTAATGTGATAACATCTAAAATTAATGATGACAATTAAAGCTCTGACCTACCCCAATCACGAGAACAGTGTCAATTATAAAAAAATAAATAAATAAATATGCTATTCATTATTACATGTACCTATTGAATTATTTCATATTAATTTATTTCGCTTTTTTCTATCTACCTTATCTTACTACAAACCAATTTCATTCTAATTACGTGTCCCTATATTTTCACCACATTTTCCTAACCAAAAAAAAACTAAAATAAGAAGAACAAAAAAATAAATAAATAAAAAAATAAACAAAACATAGATAAATAAAAAAATAAACAAAAAATAGATAAATAAATAAAAAATACATGTATTAACGAAGAACACATTCTTAACCGCGCTACAACGAACACCTTTTAGCGAACATCACAGCGAAGAGGACGGCGTCGCGAAGACCCAGGATATAAGCCGTTCCTTGTGGAGATCGTGACTCCTTTTGGGAAGGCGTACTGTCTCAGCGCGACGGAAGACCCACTTCTGTCTCTCTCTCGCTCTGTTTGGCTCTAGTTATCTCTTTATCTCTTTATCTCTCTCTCTCTCTCTCTCTCTCTCTCTCTCTCTCTCTCTCTCTCTCTCTCTCTCTCTCTCTCTCTCTCTCACTCTCTCTCTCTTACTCTTTCCTTCTCTAGTTCCTTTCTCTCTGCTTTCCGCTTTATTTCCATCTCTCCCTTTCTCCTCCTCCTCCTCCTCCCCTCTTTATCACCTATGCCTCATTCCCTCCCTCTTCCTTGCCTACCACTCCCTCCTTCCTTGATATCCATTCGTCCAACTTTTCCGCCCTCCCTTCCTCCCTCCTTCGCTCCCAACGCTTTCCCCGCCTCTTCCCATCCCCCCTCTTCCTTCCTCCTCCCTCTCCCCACTTCCACTCCCCCCCCCAACTCGTCCCCTCCAATCGCTGTCGACCCCCCATGCAGATTATCTTGGCGCGTCCTCTTTGCCAGCTTCCCCCATAAGGTCGAGTTCTCCGCTGTCAGCCCTGGGCTCGATCGACCTTAAGGCATAAAAACGCACCGGGGGACTTGGCACTTTCTGCATCAACCCCTTCCTCTCCCCTCCTCCCCTGCCCCCTTCCCCGCCCCCCCTAGGACACAGAATCCGAGGAAGGCGAAGCACCGGAAGCCCTACATTGGGGGAGGGGGGGGGGCAGTGGGACAGGGGAAGAGGGAGGAGGGGGGGGGAGTATAACCGGCACTGATGACCCCTCTGACACAGCGGGAGGGAAGGAGGGGGGTGGGGGGGACGCGGCGAAGGGAAAGGAGTGGAAAGGAAGGGGATTCTCTCTCTCTCTCTCTCTCTCTCTCTCTCTCTCTCTCTCTCTCTCTCTCTCTCTGTATGTATATATATATATATATATATATATATATATATATATATATATATATATATATATATATGTATATGTATGTATATGTATATATATGTATATATATGTATATATATGTATATATATGGGTGTGTTGATGTGTGCATATGTCTATCTATCAATCACTCTATATGCCTCTATGTATGAATCTGTATATGTAAATAATCACAACATCGACCATGATGGCATTTTTCTAATAACGAATATGATGGCAAAAACAAACAACAATAATTATGATCCTGTAATACACCTTGGGTAAGGCGTCCCTCTCCTTCCCAACATGAACCAGCTGGAGAGTCAGGCAGCGGCAACAAAAATAACGATAATGATAATAATGATAAAACGATAACAATAACATGGATGGAAATATTAACATTAAAAACAACAAAAATTTCAATAATGATCATAAAAATAACAAAATAACAAAAATGACTGATATCGAAAATAATGATAACGAAAATTATAACAATGATAATGACAATAATGCCGGACTTTCAGCATTCTACGAACTGAAAATAAAGATAAAGAGCGAATTCAATCGGCATTATCTCAGATAGATTCCCAAGCTGAAATTCCCGGAATTACGTAAATCGAATAAAACGTTCACGATAAAACGGACACGTACAACATAAAACGAACAAACTTCACATCTGCTTTTTCGGTCGCCTTCCCTCCTGCACGCGCATCTAATCAAAACAGTACCCCCCCCCCCCCCACGT